AAGTTTCCAATCATTAGATCCATTGAAATGAGTGTTACAGAGAAGATGGAGATAAAAGTATTCCAAGAATTGATGAAATTATTGAAGAATCCATTCAATGAAAAGACTCTTAACATGAAATGGATCTATGAATATGATAACCAAATATTAGACACAATTCTGGGCGAATATCGCCATCAATTGACTTCATTATCGATACCAGAATCGGCGGTAAATGTATTTAAATCGCACAACAAGTCATACACAAGACTTCAATGTATTTCCAACACTTCTGGTTCTCCATTGTCTCTACTATTCAACGAAGACAATGAACTAATGGTTAAGAGTTTGACGCAATTTAGATGCAATTATATCCTAGATTTATCACAATTTGCAACATTTGTCGATCACTATAGACATAGTTTGCTGTATATCGAAATCATATTTGTTTCAGAAACAGACCAAACAAACCAAATTGATGTGTTAAAACTGGTGCCAAGACTACAAGGTTTAAGACAATTAACTCTAACGACATTTATTAAAGACATATTCTCTGAACAATCGTCCATTGATTGTGTCAAACAAATTGGCATTCAATGCAAACATTTACAAAGAGTTGACTTTGATATACATTTTATGAATGCCATAGATTTGGGGGAATTATATGAAACGATGGCTTATTTCAAAGGTCTGAGAGAATTAAGTTTATATACAACCAAATCAATCGATTCCAATGAAAATAGTGTTGAGTTGACACTCAAACCATTATCTCATTTGAAACGTTTGAATCATTTGGTGCTATCCTTCGAGTATTTCCTATTAAACGATACATTCCTCGACTCGTTTGACACATATTTGCCACGAATTCTGACGTTTAGTTTCTATGGATCTCCAGAAATAAATACTAATATTAAAAAGTCAATGAAAATGTGGACAAAATTCATCGATTTATCCACAAGTTATGAAATTCGTATAATTAGCTCAAAACCTTTCTATACTAGACCTCAAGGATTGTAAAGTTATATTCAATTTTATAAATAAGTTTATAGTTTAAATGTTTTCAATAAATTTTCATCATTCAATTGTTTCAATTAGTTGTAATATTTTATTTATTGTAATTAATTGTAATTCATAATTACTAATTATTTAGCAATACAATTTATATTATTATATTAAGACTTTTTTGTTTCAATATTTATTAATTATCAGTGAAAAGGAGTTAAAAAATAAAATTATGATAACAGCCCAACGTTTTGGGTCAACACTGTGACCAGCATCAGGGCTAAGATGTTATGAGATATCATAGAAAAGATTGTCGTTTTAATTGGTGTTTGAATTATGAATTTATATTATTATTATCAAATTCATTACACAATTCAAGACAATTTCCAAAATTATTTTATATCATACTTTGAAAGTTAAATATTTTTAAAATTATTATATAATTAGGTATTGATATGCATATGAGTTGATACATTGTGATGAGATTTAAATACATTAATGTATTTATTGAATAACATACTGGCACTGCGAGTGTGGTTATAAATTACAGAATTATAATATTCATAACAAACAATGTCTAAAATGTGTTTAAATTAATGATAGAAGACTAAATAATTTATAAATTAAGCAATTTCTTGCAATAGATATCATTGGGAAATTGTATGCATACATGAAATAAGCATTAAAATACTGTATAAATATATATAAAGTTTAAAAGTTAGTCATTTAATAGCGACTATTTGCATCATAAAAGCCATTATAAATTCATTTTGGCGTAAATAAGATCATAAAATTCACATTCAACGATCATTATAACATAAAATTTATGTCATAAATAGAGATACTGTACAAAGAAAATAACTTACTTGTTAATAAATATTGGTAAAATTGTTGTAATTTTTTGATAATATATTTTTACTTTATAGCACTTATTCGTCTACTTTTCAACATTTTTAAAATACAATATTTTTATGAATTTCAATTGAATTATTAAAATGAAATTTAATTTGTGTCGACCCATACCCCGTAAATGGCGTGTAAGGGGTGCTGATAGTCATCTCTATTTAATTGGTTTATCACTATTTAAACCACAATTATATACTAAAAGACATTTACTCTATCATCCATTACTCGTATTCATTGTATCAGTAATAATGACTATCAAGTCCTCAATTGCTATTTATATCTATATTAATAACATTAACATTCCTAATTTATATCATCTATGGTTAAGTGACATTGATTACTTTTCCAATTTCAATTACACACATAATATAGTTACAATAATATTTAGTGTGAATTCAATTTTGTCACAACTTGTGAATTACTACAACTATAGAAATGGTATAAAACCGACGGATTTGAGAGTATTTCATATGATTTGTGGTTTCATTTCACCCAAAAGTGTCGGAATTAATGATCGATTATTGGTTTGCAAATTATCAACAATTAGTAAAAAACTATTTAAAATGTCAAAAATAGTAGCATTACTTTCAGGTTGTGTTGGTTTTATATATTCATTATTTTATTTTGCTTATAGTTATAAATTAAACATACTTTTAGTAGCAATTCTACAATCATTAAGTTATATGTTTTGGGGTATTTATGCTTTTTCAGTACTAGTTTATCAAACAGTTTATTACTTTATAATCACTTATTATCTGAAGTCTAAAATTAAAGCAATTAATACTGAAATTAAAGGTCGTCTGAGAAAACCTAATAATTGTCTAAATCATTGGTTTATTACTAATATTTTGCGAGAATTGGATGCAATTTATGTGGAAATTAGTGAATATAACAGTATTTATTGGTCTAAATATTTGTTATTTACATGGATTTCATTAGCATTTTTAAATTGTTATTTAATTAATGTGGTGCTATTTAGATATAATATATTATTCACTAAATTATGTGTAATATTCATTTTTTCCATTTATATGGTGACCTTGTTATTTATAATTCATATTTCATCAACACTTTACATGCAGGCTAATAACACTTATATAATATTGAATTCATTTATTATTAAACAAATAAATATCAAAATGAAACTTAAGGTTCGCATATCCCTCCATTATTTAGTTAATTATAATTTTATTAAACTTTTAATTAGTTATCAAATCTAATGGAGAGAATCGGTGTAAAAAAGGTTGGATTTTATTGTTGGAAACTATTCATTATAAACACCTTTCGTGGATATGAAGTTAGTATTACTATATATTTAGTGTATATTATTGTTTGATAATTATTGATTATTATTTTTACAGATAATATCGTTTGTAATCTTATTTTTAATGAGACTAAAGGTATAAATGTAGCATATTTTTTGTATAAAACACTGACGTATAAAATAAATTCTGTAAATAATTATAACATTTTTATTGTGAATATACGGTAGTGTTTTTGATAATAATTATTAATTATTAGTAAGAAATAAATATAATACTGTATCGCAAAATATATAAATTGTGTTTATTTTTTAGGCCTGTTTTTGTGTTTTATTTGAATTGGTTTTTGTTTCGGTTTGTATGACTTCTCTGACTTTGTTTTTGAATGCGATTTACAATAACAACAAATAAGGGGACAAAACACCAAAATCAATATAACCCCCAATGAGATGATTACTGTTGTACTCAAAAAATAAAACATTAATAATCACTCAAATACAGAATATTCTGTAAAGTTTGCTAAATAACTAAAACAATTACTTGATATTATTAACCATTTTGTCACTTCATCGGAAGGCCTGATATTATAGAAAGGTTTAGACGTTTGGCTTTTAATTACAGGTACTTCTGGTTTATATTCTGGGTATACACGGGTTGGTGGGACAGTAATCTTGGGCTTAGGTATGAATTTTTCAGTGAAACTAATCAAATTATATGTTTTGATATCATTAGAGAACTTTTGCCATGAATTCAATTCTTGTAACAAAAGATTAGTATAAAAACTTTCGCGACATTTGAGAAACTTTTGAATAGATTTTTGTCGCAAAACTGTATTCAATCCAAAAGATGTAATTATTTTTGACGAATATTTGGTCCCCATTTTCATCGGTGGTAATAGCGTCCAAACCATTGGGAAGGTCTATACTGTCCAGAGTTGCCGACCTCTTAACCACAAACCTATTGTTCGTCTGTTTTGTGTACAACCAAAACGTGTCGTTCTATTGGATTACAGAATATTCTTGAGTATAGCACAAGAATTTCATACAAATAACAAAACCTATGAATACTAACTCTAAACAAAATACATGAACTAAAATTGCGATCACAGTTGACGGCATCCAAAGTGTGGGCTGTGTTTGGGAACAACTCAGACAATAGTCGCCAACCATTTCCCGTATAATTATTGTCATTAAAATCCGTGTATTTCTGGCCTTTAACTACTTAAGGGGCAATCGATTGGTAATAGTTTTACTGCATTTTCAGTGTACGATATATTTGAGTGAACATTAATTTACATGATTTCATACAAACCCCTTTTGGTATTATGTACATTAATTGCATTAAAGTATTTAAACTAGCAATTCAATTATTTGTATAATATTTATGATAATTTATAATTGAATTTATTGTTGAAAACAAATACTAATTGATTACAAATACACGGCTATAATGTTCAGTAAATGTACTGTAAGTTCATTGTAATAGTTCACCAAACCATAAGTAGTCTGTAGTCGAGTGACTCATAAGTTACAGGAAATGACTGTTTTGTAGACAAAGAGACAAATGATTTGGAAATTGATTTCATTTCACGTTTCATTGAAAAGTGTTTTTGGGTTTAGTTTGCAATCAAACCATCGCCTCATCAGTGAAGACACCAATCAGTGGTCATCCGGTTGTGTGGACTCACGAAGAAGACAATTATTGCCATTAATCAGCGAAAAGGTTTGTATTTATGATCACTTTTTATGACATCTTTTCCAAAGTATTCATTCATTTCTCGTATTTGTATGAAAAGTCTCCGAAGATATCAATGAAATGAATGCAAACATTGAATCAATTGATCCACAGGTGATGTCTTCAGAAGCCATTCCAGTGATGACTAATACTGGAGTCACTGCAGAGATATCGTTGCCTTTTGGGTTCACTTCTGGATGTCTTCACTATCTGTCAGACATTTATTGTACGAAAAGTTTGTCTTAATTTTGAAATGAAATTAATATTTGCTTTGAATTCAAGGCTTCAATGAGAAGACCACTGAAGACATGAATCTATTGACTGATAATCACTCGAAACAATTGATTCAAAAGGTTTGCACCGAATATGCATTGAATTCAAAGTTTTTAATTAATTGTTTTCTTAAAGATATCACGAATTGGGATGAATGGCACTCAAGAGGAATATCCTAAGGACTCATTGGACAGATTCGGTGATGACTTATGCGAAGAGTTGTTGTCTTATCTGTCACTGAAAGACAGCTTCAGATATGAATGTCTGTCCAAACAGTGGCGGAGGACTGTATTCACGAGAAGACATACACTGGAAGTGAATCTCCAAATGTTTACTAATTGGCACTTAAGTGACAATAAGAGGTCTATTGATAACATCTGGAGAGCAATGAAATCAGTGGTGAATAAGTGTCCGAACATTACATCCATTGATATTGAGATCAAAACGGAAGCAAATGAAAGAGTGTTTGCATTACTAATGCTTTCATACATACACTCATTGATTGAGATTAGAGTGGATTTGAATGATGCGAACCACGAGATAGTGGACTGGGTTTTGAGTATATATGGCCCACAATTGACTTCAATATTGATCCACACTTATGGCTATCAAATGGCTGAACATACGTTCAAACGGCACTCAAAGTCATTGACACGATTGAGACAACTGTCCGGACGTAACACTGATTTATCACTCATTTTCAATGATAATCAACTGATGGTTAAGACATTGACTGACTTTGAGTTTGAAAATGAGATGCTATTGGATGAGGGAATCAATTGCAGACCCCATCGCTCCCTATTCGTCGATAACTATAGACATACTCTTAAGTCCATTGCCATTGACTTCGTTGTAACGGATCTCAAACCAGTGATCGTATTCTTGAGAGAGTTATTAAAGGGACAAACTCTGAGACAAATATCTCTGGGAATCGACTTCATTGGTCTCCCAATTGATAACAAGACATACCATGAATTGAACAAATTTTTGGCCATTGATTGCAAACGCGTGAAGAGATTTGGTTTGAATTTGAGTAATACATGCGAACCAGAAGTGAGACAATTATACGAATCGATGCAATGGTTGACACGATTACAGAGACTCGAGTTGAAGGTGTTGTGCGACGAAGACATCATTGAATTGACACCAAAATCGATGTCTTCATTGAAACGATTGACACATTTGTCGTTGGATTTCGGGTTCTGTGTATTGAATGAGAGTTTCTTTGACTCCATTGACACTCATTTACCACTCATTGAGAGTCTGAAGATTAACAGCGGATTAGAGATAACTCGTGGTATAGAGGCGTCTGTCAAACGTCTATCGGAATTGAAATGTTTTGACTTTAAAACTCAAATACCAGAGGATTCTGAGTACTATTCTTATTATGATTTCATTCATTCAATTCCTAATCACATGAATATTGTGTTATAAATAGTCCTCAAAATACCATTTCATTGGTTTTAAATTCATTAATGCTTTATAACTGTTAAGACAATTATTGATGGATATGTACGGTATAACACATTTGTATTACTCTTTCATTAAGATATTGTAATTATAATTCATTTAACAGTTGCTCTAATATTGAAGCCATTATAACACATTTGTGTTGTAATACTTGTATTTGTAAATTTGAATATTTGTAATAAAAATTATGATTAATGTTTTGTTTCAATAACTTATTTTATTAATCTGAAAAATTATGATTGAGTTTTTGTCTCAACTTTTGTCTTTGAATTTGTTTGGATTCTTCAGCATTTGGTCCCGAAAACAGACCACAAGAATAGCATACAATAAGGCTTACTATCACTAGAATGACAACTGAGATGATAACTGTTTGTAAATTAAATAATTACTAAACTATTAAATGATTAACAAATATATTACTTATGATTATCACAGCAATCAAAAAACCACTGAAAGAGTCAGAAGTTGGGGTTGTTTTAGGTATCAGTCCTGAAGTGTATGATTGGTTTGGATTGTCATCTGAATCAATACCAGTTGACTTAGGAGTGGTTAGCAATGGTGTGGGGGAACAGGGATGGAATTTTCGGTGAAATCATGTAAATCATGTCTTAATGTTTTTTAGGAGGTTTTCCCTTGAATTCAAATCATTGTTTTCAATTCTTTGATAATAACTTTTGGGACATTTCAGGAATCGTTGGATAGGATATTGTCGTAAAACTGTGTATTCTTTCCAAAAGACAATTGGTTTTGATATAAATCTGGTCTCCATTTTCATCGGTAAAGACTGTAAGTATTTCCAAAATTAGTTTCTACATTTTATACATTATTTTATTATACCTTTTCAACATATTTAATTATACTTTCAAAACTTATTATTATTTCAAAACTATTTAATGATTTGCCAAAAAATATTAGATGTATTACTAAATATAATTTGTTTGTTAAAGAAATTAATTTGTTTTTATGATACCTTTGTATTATTTAAAAGTACTCCTTAAATCCAATAAACCATTATTATTATTATACCTTTACACTATGATTAATTTGTAATTTTTATAAAATTTTTATACAAATTAAACATTCATAGGAATATTATAAAATTTATAAGAATATGAAAAATTAATTATAAAGTTTTCAATTATAATTTTTTCAAATTAAACAAAAATATATGATTTAAAAATTGTATTGTTGCTATGAGTTGTATAATTGTATTAATTTATCAATTCCATTATACTTCAAGTATCATTGATTGATTAATCTTTTGAGTAAAATATTTTAATTAATAAATATATAATATTTTGTATTTATTTTATTTTTCTAATTAAATAACTATTAAACTATATCTAATTTCAAATAAATAATAAATAAAATTTTAAAAATTTCATCACTTGTGAAATAACAATAAAACATAATACTAAATATTATAAATCAAATCAAATAATTTATGCGGTACATATTTTATTTTCCATTCTAATACATTTACTTATTACTAATAAGTTACTAGTGTATTATTGATAATTAAATTGCCTTTGTAGTTGGGTGATCATAGAAATCCCATTCGTGCATGTTAAACAAATCTGTATCAGCATAATTATGACATGGCACACTTTTCAAATGATTTGATGCGAGCAAATGTCTACGATATATCCAGCTAATTGAATATAGGCCGTCCCAATTACACGTAAATTGATTTCCAGATAACCAAATGTCGGTATTTGAATTCAAATCGCCATATTTGCCAAAAATATCCTCCGGTAATGATTTAATGGCATTATTACTCAAATCAATCAAAATAAAGCCGTCATTGTTATCAAAACCACCTAGTTTAACTCCCTGCTCAGTTATGGCATTATAATCTATAACTAACCGCATGTCGTATAAGGATTTGAATTTTAATGCGTTTGGTCCAACATCGTGAATATTGTTATCCATTAAATTAATTCGCGAAACCCTGGGTAAGTTTGAAATTTGACCAGGCTGAATTTGTTGTAGATTATTATTTGCAAAATTTATGTCGGTTAGCATATTTTGATTTGAAATATCTGGAATTACGCGTATATCACAATCATAAATCCATAAAAATCTTAATTTGTTTATCGGCACCTTGGTCATCAAGTCGTTAATATAATTGTCAATAGTATCTGTGTAAATTTTCACCAATTCAAGTCGTGTTATTTCCTTGAGTATATCTTTTGTTAAGAAATCAAAGTTCGTTACTTTGGTATATTGAATTATAATTGAATTGGCTACCATGTTTGTTAAATTTATATCAACAACTGTTTTAATGGTGTCAATATTAATTAAATCAAATTTAAATAATTTATCTAGGTTGGGAAAGTGAGTGGTATTTCGACCGCAATATAGTTCACCCGAATTAGGCAAGCAGAGGCAATCATTTAGCATTTCATTAGGTGGGCAAACGAATGTACTTGATGATGTTATCGCATTAGTATTACTCATTTTAAGTTTAATATAATTATTACTATGTTCACTCAATGACATTGTTGTAGATGTGACATTATGAAATTCGGATTCTGGTATTTGAAAAAGATTTCGACATTGATAATTTTGGCAATAAACATTTCTGAAGTGCGACTCTGCGTAACTGCGATCGTGAAATGTCCAGCTAATAGAAAATTCACCATCCCACTCGCAAGTAAAATAATTAACATTAAAATTAATGTGAATTTCATTTCCATGACGAAACGTATCCTCCGACAATGCGTAAATATAATTATCACCAAGATTCAAATCGAGACTATAACCTTTGTTATCGAGGCCAGATAGTTTAACATCATGTTCCGTAATATAGTTTGAAAATAAGGTAACTTGCACACCATACTTAGATGCAAATTTTAGTGAGTTTACTTCTAGCTTACATATCGCGTTATTACTTAAATCTAATTTGGTCAAATTTGTTAAGTTAAAAAATTGTTCTGTGTTAATTTTTGTAATGCTATTTTGATGAAGACTAATCTCTTGCAAATTTTTCTGATTACTAAAATCAGGTATACCATGAAGCTCGCTTCCAATCGTTAAAAATCTTAATTGATCTTGTGGAATATTCTTGAATAATTTGTCCATATAAATATCTACTGGTCGCTGGGAATTTACGTTTAAATCAATGCTTGTGACACTTGTCAATATCTCGGTAGTTAGAAAATCTAGATCATTAACATATAGATTGCTGATTACAATCGAATATGTTGTCATATTATCTAACTTTAAGTTTTTATCTTGGCTAAAACCAACTAAATGGATTATTTCAAAATGGTAAACTTGATCAAATTTTGGGAACAGTTTTGTATCTATTCCGCAAAATAATTCACCAGTTGTTGAATTACATTTGCAATCATTGAGCATGCTACTTGGTGGGCAGTTAAATTTAGGTATTGGTGTTGAAACTGTTGATATTTTAGAGGTAGTTGGTGAAACTGTAGTCGTTGTCGGTATTGAAACTGTAGTTGATACTTGGTGAAATTCGGATTCAGGTATGCTATATAAATCACGATTATCAAAGTTAAAACATTGTACATTAATAATGTGTTTGGGCAATTCAGCGCGTTTACTAAATGTCCATTTAATTGATGTATAACCTTCCCACGTGCATGTTATTCTATTGTGATCAAGATCAATTATAATATTTTCTTGTACACCCAGTGGAGCAAAAGTATCCTCAGTCATGCCGTTAATTTGATTATTACTTAAATCGACAATAAATGTTTTTCCTTTGTTACCAAGGTTAGCCTTTTTGATTAGTCGTTCAGTAATTGTATTGAAAGCAAGGTCAAGTTTTAGTGAGTTGTTAGTGTTAAATAGTAAGCCATTTTCAGCAATATCGTTAATTAAATTATATTCCAAGTTTACATTTTCTAAAGTTTTAATCGTTTGAAATTTACCCGTATCAATTTTAGTGATTTTATTAGATTGAAGTGATAAGGATTTTAAATTAGTAAAAGTTTGTAAATCGGGAATCTCACCAAGGTTTGCTTTTGTAACTTCAAATGAAACTATTTTAGCTGGATCTAATTTATCAATTAACTTGGCTAAATCAATTGTGGACTTTCCATCAACTTGATGCACATAGGTCAAAGATATATTGGTGATACTTGATTTTAGTTTCTCGGTAATAAAATTAAAATCATTAAGATTAATTTTATTAATAGTGAGCTTTTTTGATGTTATTTTATCTAATTTAATAGATCCAGGTGATTTAATACTATCGAGTGTTATTATATCAAAAGCAAATTCCGGTGTTTGTATTGAGGGAAATATACTAGTGTCAGGTCCACAGTATAATTCGTTAGTAGCCTTATTGCATTGACAATCACCTAGCTCATCTAAATAAGGACATTCAAATGGTGCTCGACCACAAACTAATGCCAATTGCATTAACAGTAATAACACTAAATAGAAAACAAATGTCAGTTATCAATTATAATAGATATTAAAATTATTAGTTAAATAAAATTTAATCTATTTGAATAAAGGTCATTATATAGTTAAATAAAATAGCCGACGTAAACTAATACTTAAAAAGATTTTATATAATGAATTTATTGTTTTATATTAAAATTAAAACTTGGTAAATAATAACTAATTGATTAATTAATAAATTATTTAATGCTATAATTTTTAAAAACAAAATTAACTATTTAATTCTAAGTTAACTATTTTGTATTATTTTTATAATAACATAACATTTAAACTATTTTTATAACATTTAAAATGATTTTTTATTTATATACACTTATATTCTTAGTTGTAGAATTAAGATTAAAAATTTTAATAAACATAATATATAAATTAATAATAATTTTATATAAAAAACTTACCATTCATTTTAGTGTTAGTAAAAGATAAATCATTAATATTAAACTTCAATTTCATTTACAAAAAACTACTAAATAATAATTTAATGATTTTAAATGTATGAACCTCACAATTATTTTTATATAAGTAATATATATGGCTTACGTTTTGAATGTTTAATCAATTTCATAACACTTCAAAAGATATCTATATGGGCGATTAGTCAATTATTTAGTTGCCGTGGTTTTAATAAATACAGGTATAGATAATCTTTTACATTCAAGCATTATAACAATATTTATACCATTACACTTTTTAGGATTAACAACGTCATATACACTTGTATTGGAAACAACGAGATCTACTCGGGATAAGTTTGTTACTTTAATAATATCGGCGTTAATAAGTACAATAATTATAATCGTAATTATTATAGAAATTTGACTCTATTTTGTAAACCAAATATTAATTATTTAGTATTTATATTTGACAAACAGCTACTGGTGCGGGTTTGGCAATAATGATAATATGTATAGTTTTCATACATTTTGCCTCAAAAATGAGTTCAAATAAAAGTCGAGTCAAACAAATAGCCATAAAAAAGGCGAACCGAAAGCCCAAACAATTGACACAAAGATCTAAACTATTGACACAAAAACCAAAACCTTTGTCACCGAAACACAAACCTTTGTTAACAAAACCTAATCCAATGAAACTAAAAACAAAAATCAAACACAATGTGACTAAAAAGAAATAATAATCTTATATATTTGATAAACATTTATGCTTTTATAGCTATATTAAAACGGAATTTATTTTAATAAAATTCATGTTATAATTAAGTCCTTTTGTTAAGCCAATAAGTTGCATAACTATTATATTTTTGAATGTTTTTAATTCATTTTTAATATTTTGTTTTTAACTCCTTTGGAAAGATAATACATTATTTGGATTTCCTATTATTTACCTGATTTTGCTCACAAATGTTTATTAAATGCAATTTATTAAACAAATATTTAACAAATTATTTACATATTAATGGCAGCAATTGTTTAATCATTTTTACGTGAATGGTTGTGTGAATAATTTTAATATTTATAAATTATAATAAATTTGTGTTAATTGATAATAAGAGAATTTAGTATTAAATTACAATTTTGGTGTAATATTAAATTTCATTTTCACAATAATCGTCTATTAGTAGTATAGAAAAATATAAACTAAAGGCAAAATTAATATAATGTTAAACATTATATAAACAATCACTGGATTACAATAGGGACCCATATTTTCAACAATATATTCAACAAAATCACAAAATGCCATAAATGCACCCTGAACTGCTAAATCATAATCACTCATATCTTATAATTAAAGTAAATATATTTTGTAATAACTTATATAAACGCGACGATATTACACAATCCTGGTCTTTTTGCTCCCTTTGTTAACGTATTGGATTTGAGCGCCGGTATTGCCATTCATGGCCACTATCTTAAGCTTATCCACTTTGAGCACCGATTTGTTGCCCTCTTTGAACTCAACGTTTCTTACGATCAAATTCCACACGTTATCCGCGAATCGATAGGCCGCTAGTTTGGCTCCATTTCCCTTATCCTTTTCCTATCGATACAACCGTAAAACTAAATTACTTTTAAGGGGAGGGGAGAGAGAGAGGGGGAGAGAGAGGGAGAGGGAGAGAGAGAGAGAGAGAGACCTCTTGGGGTGTCACAAATGAGAGGTCAGGCTGTTGTCGGCCACCCTTTGTATAGGAATCAAAGGCTTTATCAACACTGGCGTCAAACGCGTGGAGACACTTATTAGCCAATCGTTCAGATAGTTGGCCCGACTATAGATAATTGGGTGGACAGACATGTTATTAGTATTCACTTATTAAGGGATTGGTATGGAAATGGTAATCAAGAAATACCTGATGCATCTCAGCCAGCGATTCCCACAATGCATTGCCCACTGTTGTAGTCCTGTAACACAGCCGAGTATTCATTGCTAATTGATTTTAGTATTTAAATAAACTTTAATAACTCAGAAATTGTTTGACTATTTTCCGTATAAAACGTGTTATAATGAACCTCTTTGTGTTAATAAAGTAACTCTGCCTAAGCCTACACTAAAACAAATTAAAGTATAGTATATTTCCAATCAATTAACTTATTAATAGTCAACTAGCTAGCTTAAGTACAAAGTAAAGTGCTGTACAGTATTAGGAATTTTCCAGAATAACTTTATATTGTAGTTGTTATTAAAAATGATTTCATTGTTACAATTTATTAGTCATAAATGAGAGCATACTTTGACTCAAATCACATACAAAACATTCAAACAAGGTTACGAACTATGATTAGAAAATTGTGTGAAAAAGTTTCCAAAACAATAGTATTTTAAAACTATTTTAATTATTACAATAATGTTGGAAATTTTTATTATTGGATATTTAAAATTCTAATCTTAATTGTTAACATAATTTCAAAATAATTTGTGTTAATAAGTTTTATAATGTTATATAATGCTTACATATTAATAAATAACTAATAACATATGTTTTAAATATTTTAAAATAAACACATAATTAATTAATTAATATCCATTTAAAAGTAAATGCAACTAATAATGTGATAACTGTTAAATGTCTAACATATAACATGTCTTTATAACATTATATTGAATACCACTTAATAGACAAGTTTAACCACAATCTATAAACCTTCACATACATGTGGGTGACATCCCTGGCCGTAGACACGGTTAGGGGAGAATGGAATGGACATACATTATAAATAAATAAATACATTTATAATTTAGCAATATTTACAAAAATCATAACAAAATGTGCTTCAAACACATCATACGATTGCATACATTCCTTACGGCGCTTCTGGTACTCAATTCAGGTGTCAGTCAACCAAACGCAAGAATATTCTGTACTTTTAACCTTCATTTTCAACAGTCATTTGCATCGACCCGGAGGGCGAGGACTGCGATCCGTACGATGAGAACGACCCCAACGAAGACCACCAATTGATCCGCAAATTAAGTCTTAGGAAACAAACCCTCGAAGAGGAAAACGAAGACTTCGACGACGACTCTGACCACCATATTGTCATAAAACCGCATAAATGCATCAAAAATGACAGACATGTCAAGAGTTATGCCTCAGAGGAGGCTAAACCGGTAGTCGAAAAGCCCCCGAAACAGACTACCAGTGCTATTATACGGACCACCGTTAAGACGACTACACCGAAGCCAATGATGGCTCCCTTAGAGCCGGAGTCAGTGCCGGCGCTCACCACTAAAGGGCCCAAAAAGGGGCTCAAGAATTACGCGGCGGACTTGGATGACGGGCCCGTAGTCAAGACAACCACCACCGAAGAGCCAACTACTGATAGGTCCACGACTGAGACCACGGAAGAGGACACGACTACTGAGGAGATGACGGATAGTACCACTGAATCGGAAGCGACTACCGAAACGACGATACCGACCACTACTGAGGAGGAAGAGACCACAACTCCCACCACAACCGCGACAACTCAGGAGATGGAGGCGACGGGTGCGGGCACTACAGAGGCGGACGACCGCCGCAGCACCGGCATCGACGACATCGACATAGACTCGGCCACCGGTACCGATGCCATCGAAGAGGAGACTGAGAGCACCACCACTGAAGAGGGCAGTACGGAGACGGCCACTGAGGGTACAGACAGCACGACCGAAGCCGGCACCGGGGCCACAGGCGCCGGTACTCCGGGCAGCACTACTCCCGGCAGCAAATGGAGTAAATTCAAAAGTGGTCTGAACG